CTCCTCCTTGACCTGGTTACAGTGGTCATTATTTGATACCTGCTTTCCTTTTAAGTAGGTAAAACCTGTTTTACTAGCCTTACTAAAGAAAAATTGTTCTGCAAGGAGATATTGTTTTGTGGATGGAGGGAAATATGATTTTAAAAGATTCATACACAGTAGCAGCTCCCATACTTCATTTGAAGTTAAAAAAAAGTTTTAAAAGAATACTTTTTCGGTGATTAGGAACCCTAATGGGGGCTACAAACATATATATTTGGTTTATTTTATATATTAATTTACTGTACAATAATGTGGAAGAAATAAAGCATTCGATTCACAGAGAGTAGAGGTGAGTTACACTAGAGGGGGAAAAATTACGTTCATGTTGAGTGATTTGGGAACTGGTTGGATTAACCCATATTGTACCCACTGGCTTCACTTAGTTCTTTACGCAGCACCACAGATCCAACAGGAAACCCCTAAAAGTCATTGTTTCAGATATTTTGTACTTCTTAAGAAAGATGTTGAGTTACAGGAAATTAAAATATGCATGACAAGTACATACACGACTGGATAAACATTCCTAGCCATACACACCCACAACAGTTCCATGTTATACTATATGGCAGAAAAGCTGATGCACGAATCACTTGCTTATTTGCTTTCCCCCGTATTGAGCACATAAGTATTATTGCTTTATTTCCTTCACTTTATACTCCACTTTTCTCCTTAACCGGGACCCAGAGTGGCTTATAACAGTCTCCCCATCTCCATTTTGTCCTCACGATAACCCTGTGAAGTAGTTTAGGCTGAGAGACAGTGACTGGCTCAAGGCTTCTCCTGTGAGCTTCCATGGCTGAGTGGGGATTTGAACCTGGGTAACCTGGATTTTAGCTCAGCACCCTAACCACTGCACCATGCAGCCTCTCAAGTGGGTATGTGACAAACGTCCGGGTCAGTGAGCAAAACCAAAGCAAAGCCAGAAAGTTGCAAAGGAGCATTTTAAAAATAACGTTAAATTCTACAGCATTTGGAGATCTTCCTTAGAGGAATCTATACAAGTACACATTAAAAAAACCAAAATAAAAAGTACCTTTTAGAAACACTCAAAAGGGCAAAAAGTTTGTCTCCAAATACTATATAATTAAAACTAGTTTAAACAATTTGCATATAGAAATCAAAACCAACTACAAAAAAGAAATCTGTATCTTGGGATATAAAAATACAGAACAATAACAAGAGAAAAGATAGCTTTATAGGACAGGCGGAATTGGTAAAACAGTGATTTCAAAATATAAATCTCCCGAACCTCCAGGTGAAGGAAAGTGGCAGAATCCACATAAGAAACTTACTTTGAGATCATGTACATGCAAGCGTTCCTTGCAAAGCAGAACTTGGATTTCCTTGCATGACTAAGTTAATGACTGAGAAAATTCCTATATATATAGGAGTGGAAGAGAAACAAGATAGCACGTGTGGTGTCTAAATCAGCGACGAAAACTCAAGATATTAATTTAACCCTTTAGGGTTCATGGTTAGTAATGACAAGCTTCATTGTGTTTCATTTTTCGATAGAAACTTACCAGTGTAACTCTACTTTGGTGAAGCCCAGATTGTGATATTTGTGGGTGTGTGATCAATAAAGAAAAAATTTTACTAGAGGGACACCCATTTTCTTCAGATGAACTAATGAGGTCCAGCACTGGACAAGTAAATAGAGGGAGGCTATTGCACACTTAAGATTGCCAAACGTCCTGGAGAAAAATGTCCTGCCCATTTAATAGAGGCTTGATGGGATGTTATTTATCAGACCTTTCAGTGCTCTGCAACAGTGTATGGTCTGGACCACTGAAGAACAACAAATAGGGAGAAATGAGAATTTGCTTCAAAGTCTCCTACTATTCGTTTGCCCCACAGTGGTCCAGGAACCACCCCTTAGGTAGAGTCTTTGTTAGACCAGAGTTGGTAGATGGCTGTACTTGATAGTTAATTACTATCTCTTGAAGATACGAACCACTGGCTCAGGTGAAAAAATGGGCGGAGCTTTCTTGACCAGACCTGGCCAGGCCTGGTTTCTGCAGAAGAACTTGCCTTCTGGTGCTCGGAGAGGAAAGAAGTATATGATCTGCACCACTGCTGGGTGAACAAATAGAAGAATTAGTCAGATAATGAAACTATCTGTTTTTCCCTGGGGCACAATATAATTGTGCTTGAAAAAATGTGACATCCTTGTTGCAACAGAAGAGCAGACTTGAGGAGGAAACATGCATTCTGAACAAGAAATCAGAAACAAGGGGGCATTTTGTATGCAGCAGACGGATGGTGTGGAAAAGCTGACAGGAAAGGAGGCGTTCACACCCATCAACTAATGGATCAGCCCCAAAGAGTCCTATCATTTTAGTAATTAAATATATGGGCTGTGGCTGTTGAAATGCAAGCTTCTCCTTTCCACTCTCCATTTACCATATGCAAATAGAACTTTTGACACAAAGTCACAGGCTCAAACCACCACCCGTGATGAATGTATTGCCCGTCATGCAGGCTGTCTGAAATAAAACATGAACAAAATGAGGATGTGTTAAAGAACACAGTATTCAAGTCATAAAATTAAGGGAAATAGCATAATAAAAGTAGTGACAACTAATACTGAAGCGTTCAGGAGTTAATTTATTTCTGAATAGCAAACGTTTGGCAGCTGGCACGGCAGAGTGTTGGACTAAGATCCTGGGCGAACTGGGTTCAAATCCCCACTTGTACCATGGAGGTTCACTGGGTAATATTAGGCCCATCACAAACCCTCAGCCTGGCCTACCTCACAGGGTTGTTGTGAGAGAATGGAGGGAGGGAGAACAATGCTCAAAGCTGCTTGAGTGCCAACTGAGGAGACAAGTGGGGTATAAATAGCACTTGCAAAAATTTTTTTTTTGGGGGGGGGAATCCAGAACTTTAAGTGTGATGGCTGCGGTTCAGGAGCTACAGAGGTGGAGCCATAACTTCACAACGCTCATTTTGAACAAATAGGAACTTGTGGAACTCATAGTCACAGGATACGGTGATGATGGCTTTAAAAGAGAATTAGACGAATTCATAGAGAATATGTCCATCAATAGCTACTAATTATATTGACTGAATGGCAACTGTTCATTACTTTTAAATCCTATGAATAGTCCTCTAAGCCCCAAAGATAAATGGTATTATGATGAATTTGGAAGAGGTGGATGGCCTATAAATATAAATGGGCATTTGATATGTAGACTTCTGTCCTAGATTAAGGAATTGTTGAATTTTGGAATGTGAGGAAGAGAAAGCATTAGGTGGATATCATACATCTTAGAGAGTAGAAGGGATTGATAACAAATGATCAGGGATGTGTTGGAGGTATACTGGAGAAACTGGATCTTTTATTCTTTTGTGGTAGAATTGTGAGAAGGTCAGGCTGTATTGTGGAAGCACTGTGAGAGGTTTCCATAAAATGACTGGATAGAGAACAGCAACAGCAGATTGGACATAGAACAGGCAAAACAGTCTCCTCTTGCCAAATTATGGAAATGTGATCCTAAGGAACACATTTTCTAGAACAGACTTTCTCTACCATCAGTCTATCCGTGTCATCAGTCTACTCAGACTGGCAGTGGTTCTCCAGGGTTTTATGTAGAGGATTTTGCCCATGCCATGCTTTGTTTCTGAGCCGTTGGGCCGGGCTAGGGGGGGTTCTCAAGGGTTTCCAGGTCCCCCTAAATTTCTGGAGAACCCCTTGTCCCATGGCGGGGCGGGGCCCTTTTCAGGGCTGTTTTTGCTTTCTGGTCTGCCCCTGTGGAACTCACCGTGCCTGCATTTTAAATCCATGGCAGGGATATAGTGAACACGACGGCAGCCTCAGTGTGTGCTTGCAATAATTAGCCAGCTATAGGCCCTTTCTAACACTGGTCGTTTTGAGTAGGGTACTGGCCATAGTAGAGCACCTTTTAGGTCCAGGAGAGTACAGAGCAGACAGGAGAACGTGGGCCGCACACAGTTAGGTTTGGGAGGACTCAAATGCTACTCAAAAAAGTCACCTCATGGATTAACAGAGTGTGCATGTGTCTCCCCCCTCCCCATGTATCTGAATCTTTATTACTGGCAACAGCAGTAGCACATACTTGCTAGCAGGCCATGGTGGAAGTGGTGTTGATCAGTACCACACAGTGACCAAAGTGACACACTTTTAGAAAAAGAAAATATGCTTGTTTAACTTAAAAATATTTCATTCTGCAATCTGTATAAATTATGCAGAGACATTAATGTACGCTTACTGAGATTTGTTGTCAGGAGGGGGCCCCCCTCAACCCCCTCCTGCCTTCCTACGACCTGGCAGACCCTGGGAAGGAGAGGCCGGATCCAGATTACGGACCCGAATCTGAGAGGAAAGGGGCGGGCAGAGAGCCTCCCGTCCTTTCCAGGCGGCCCACCAAGGAGTGCCCACCTCTCGTTGCCAAGGTGCAGGAGAACCACTACAAGGATTCCCTGAGGGGCTGGGGATCCTCCCGCAGCATCCAGCTTTAGGCACCCCTACTGCCAAAGGAAGGCATGGGGGAGGAGGAGGTATCCTCCCCCCCACCCCCCTCGTTGGCCTGACCGTGAAGAAGAGGTTTGGGGAAGATGTGCCTGGGGCCCAGCAGGGGCTGGCCTCAGTCCCATGGTGTGTTTGCTTTAAGGCCTGGGAGGCGGGCCGGGCCAGGTGGTGGAGGGGGGATAAAAGGAGCAAAGGTGAGGACACACCTGGTCCCTATGTGTTTGGATGCGAGGAGGGAGCTGTGGGTCTCGCCCACTCCACCCACTCCAACGCACCAGAATAGAGACCAGGGAGCCACGTCCCAAGGAGTGAAGTAACTTCCTGAAGTGGCATTCTGAGACTACATCTAGCTCAAACCTTCTCCTCCCCGACCCTGGACCCACCGCGTTTCTCAGAGCTGACTCAACCTCGGGCAGGGACTGACATCTGTGTATGATTGCACACACAAACACAATACTGGAAAAAACATTTTATTGGTTCTATCAGGTCTTCAAGAAAGGTAATTCAGCTTTTTTATACATGATCAGACTGAGCCCCAATTTAACATTTCTGATTGAATAGTCAAGAGATAAATGTGCTGTTTGTTGCCCTCTCCCTCTTCTATAGTTAAGGTAGACGCAAGTACCAGTGTGGTCAAACATTTTCTAATGGACAAAACAATCTGGAAAAAGCTAAGTGGTGGTGGGTCATTCCTGTGTTTGTACTCCTCTGTATGTATGCGTGCAGTAAGGGTGTCTTACTGCTATTCATTACTGTTCAAAGCCAGGAATGTGTTTCTGCAGTGGGTTTTTACAGCAGTAAAGTACATAGCCTCTAAGTAGTAAAGACAACCCCCCCCCCCAAAAAAAACCCTACATGGTGCTGATACATTGAGGAAAGACTTGGTTTGTGCGCAGTTAGTTGTATCACAGATCACATCCAATGACTATGACATTCAGCATAGTAATGGATGTGGAAAATGTGACCTCTTTGTAACAGAAGGACAGACAGAGAGGGAAAATGTGAGGGGCTGTGGATCAGTGGAAGAGCCTCTCCTTTACATGCAGAAGGTCTCAGGTTCCAGCCCCAGCATCTCCTCGGGTAGCTGCAGGCAATGTGAAATGTGCAGGCAGCACACAACAAAGAAACAAACGGGAATGTATAGTACAAGAAAAATGGTGGAAAAAGAAGGCACCTACCAGATAACTGACAAATCAGGCGGGAGAGGGAAATGAACCATTTTCAGTTATTAACAGTGCCATCCTAAGTGGAGTTACATCCTTCTAAGTCCACTGAAGGCAATGGGCTTAGAACAGTGTAATTCTGCTTAGGATTGCACTGTAAGAGTACCAGCGGTACTGAGATGTTTATTAGAGTGTGAGCAGTTTAAGCTTTTCTGCTCTCCAAAGAGCACTTTGCCATTTGCAGAAAGAATCTCCAGAAAAGTAAGTCACAGGCTCCAGCCGCCATCAATGGTGCATTGGTTACCAGTCACATAGGCTGACTGAAAGAAAAGAAAAAAAGAACAGAGTAGGGATGTTAGATAACGTAGAATTGAAGTGATAAAGTGCCAAATAAAATGGAACAGAGAAGAACTGTTTTGGGATCCCACCGGGGAGAAAAGTGGAGCGTAAATACCTAAATGTAGCATTCACTGGTACCAGAATCTGTACAAGTTAATCATACTAAACTTGATTCCCTTATCCCTATGATGTATTGTGAAAGGGATTGAAATGTTACCATAAACACAGAGACATATTTAAGTAGCAGTAACCAGCTGGAACGAGCACTTTAACAGGAACCATTTCAGACAGCATGGTGCAATGCTTTGGTGTCAACCCCCCAAAACTTACTTCATCCGAAGCCAGATAGACAAAGAGGTGGGCTACTTCTTCAGCTGTAGCAAGCCTACCCATCTTTTGCCTGGCCACCATGTCCTTCAGCGCCTGGAGATTAAAAAAAAAAAAGCATTCCCTCTCTAAGTGCTTCTAGCTTTAGAGTATAACCTCAGAGCTGCTGTTGCTGATTATTATTTTTTTTTTAAAGTCACCTAGCATCAGGCTTAAGATTCACGCAGGTCACTTCTGAACAGTCTGTAAGGTAAAGGTAAAGGTTCCCTTGCTCGAAAGCCAGTCGAATCCGACTCTAGGGTTGTGGTGCTCATCTCCGTTTCAAAGCCGAAGAGCCAGCGCTGTCCGAAGACGTTTCCATGGTCATGTGGCCGGCATGACTAAACACCAAGGCGCACGGAACGCTGTTACCTTCCCACCAAAGTGGTACCTATTTATCTACTTGCAATTTCTTGCTTTCGAACTGCTAGGTTGGCAGGAGCTGGAACTAGAGACGGGAGCTCACTCTGTCATGCGGCAACTCGGGTCTCGAACTGCTGAACTACCGACCTTCCACAGCCCGCAGTTCAGCGTCTTAACCACTTGAGCCACTGCAGCTCCACAGAACAGTCTGTGGTGTCACCTAAATGTCAATTTCATTCTCGAGGTACTATTCAGAAACACACACTTTAAAGGCAACTTGAGATCTTGAAAGTGAAAGAGCCAGGAGTCACAAGGGCCATATCCGTGAAAAAAGCAACACTAGAAGTGGCTCTCAGTGAAGCTGCACTGTAAGCAGCCGTTCCCAGTGTGCAGAAGACTCTCTTTTATCAATGTATGGGAACGTGACCTCAGTGAGCACATTCTCCAGAAAAGGCTGCTGCTGTTGCTTTTTTGCAAGGACACTCAGTGAAGTCAGTGCAGTGAATGGATTATGATCTACATTCTGGGGAGGAGGTCAATGCAAGCACAGTGTTTGATGCAGCCCTCCAAGAGTGAGGTTCCTTCCGTGCGCACTCGACAGCAATAATCCAAAGGATTGCCCACCTGTTCAGGGTTAGGCCTGGCCTGGATTCTCTCACGTAGAGAAGGCGTGTCAACAGTACCTGGGGAAACAGGCAAACATCAGTACTGATCACAAACCCCCATATGGAAACGTCAGCACGGGCTGGTCTTTGTATGAAAAACATCAGCTGAAAGAGTCAATTCCTGTGCGTTCCTGCCCCAAAATAGCCCTGGGATCTGAGTTCATTTCCCGCAAAGGTAGTCTCAGAGGGTAGCTCTGCAGTAGAAAAGCTCGATTCGAGTCCAGTATAGCACCTTGGAGACCAACAAGATTTTTTTTAGAGGGTATGAGCTTTCGAGAGTCAAAGCTCTTCACATTTTGTGGGTCTCTGCGGTACTACTGGACTTGAACCGAGCTCATTTTCCATAAGGATTCCTAGTGGTGAGCTGAACAGGCAGGGACTATATTGGCCGGCCCTTAGGAGTGTCAAGGCATGGCAGGTCTGGTCTCCTGTGCAGGAGAAAGGGGGGGGGGGCTAATTGACCTTTAAGTCCTGCTTCCGTGGCTTAAAAGAAAGGCACAAGGTGCTCTGTGACTGGGAGATCTGGTCCCATAAGCTGCCTGGAGCACAGGATGGCTTCGGATACGTATTTAAGCCTCTCTGCATTTTTTGGATGAGGAGCAAAGTACAAGGGCATGAAGATTAAATTAAATTTAATTTAATTATATGGGTAACCCCGGGGTGTGTGTCTGTGTTAACCGGGGTGGGGGTGGGAAGGGTGCTATATGTTGCCATCTCCATAAAGGAAACACACAAAGGGAAACATAGTGGTGGAAAGGGCCATCAAGTCACAGCCCACTTATGGGGACCCGGTAGGGTTTTCAAGGCAAGAGATGAACGGAGGTGCTTTGCTGCTGCATAGCAACTCTGGACTTCCTTGGCAGTCTCCCAAGGCTGCCCCTGCTAACCAAGGCTGCCCCTGCTTAGCTTCTGAGACCGGGCTAGCCTGGGCGCACTCACAGGAACGGAGTTCCGGCGGGCTCCCAAGTTGGCCACACCCAGCAGGAACTCATTAGCATAACAGGCCACATCCAGCAGTAGAAACTCATTAGGATTGGCTACATTAGGGGTGTGTGGCCTAACATGCAAAGGAGTTCCTGCTACAAAAAAGCCCTGGGTTTTGACAACAAACAAGGTAAATAGAATAAGAAGCAAAAGGTGGGTGTGGCTGGATGACCACACTTCTGCGAACATGGGAATGTGGCCTAATATGCTAATGAGTGGTGCAATCAGGGGTGTGGCCCAATATGCTAATGAGTTTCTGCTGCTGGGTGTGGCCTGTTATGCTAATGAGTTCCAGCTGGACTTTTTCTACAAAAAAAGCCCTGCTCACCCTTAATGTGGATCACTACAAGTTTTGGTTCTCTCCTGCCCAAAGTATCTGTCACCCTTTGGAAATCAGCCACGTGTGATCATCATTAACCTTGCTGTTCCTGGCGTAGCTAAAATCTGCTATAGAAGAAATTGGCCTGCTCTGTGCCTAGGGTATATATATCACTGCTTAACTGAGGGATATGGTAATTCTCACAGTTGCGGAGGACACCTTAAGGTCTGTCTTAAAGTAACCCTTTCTAGACACTAATGGTAATGTTTTCAGCTGACGTCCAATATTCCATACCTGCACAATATATTTTGGTAACGTCAACAAAGTTTTGGTAACAGCAACAAAGGTTTGGTAACGCCAGCCTGAAGTGCAGTTTCTACCTTGATTTGTTTCCAAACCTATCTGAAGGCTGTCAATTTTTCTTTTTAAAGAATGACCGAAGTCTTCGCTTAAATGACTGAAACAAACAAGCTGGATGTCCTTCATTCTTGATCAGCAAAGCTGTGAGTTTTTCAGTTTATCATGAAGGATTATTTGGGTTAGCAGACTGCTCAAGACACATAACACAGCAGAGACTATCTGGTTTGTGTGTGCTAACAAGGAACAAAGTTGCACACGGAGGCTCTTTGGCCTTTTCGAAACTCCCTTTGTATTCCATTTTAGTAACTGGCTGCTAATGGATTTTTTCTGTCATTTCAGACAGTCTCGTTTTAGTAACTGGCCGCTAGTGGAATTTATTTACCTGTTCATACAAACTTGCTTGTGTTGGGTTAGGAAAGCATGGTTGAGCTGCTTTTGAGGGAAACTTTCCTCCCATTTTCAACCTCTTCGTTCTGCTTCTGAATTGCTGTGGTGTGCTGTTTAAAATGTTCATAGTGTTTCCTACAATGCTTTCCCTTTTTCACCGCCCAATCTTCCTCAGACTTTTAAAAAAACTGTGTCTCAATGGTGCCATTATAGCACTTCAGTACTATAGTGATTTAGCGCTTCCTTTAGAATGTTAAAAAGAAAGTCTGAGGAAGATTGCACGGTGAAAAAGAGTGGGGGGAAGTGGCACTGTTTGAAATGACTGTAGCACTTCAGAGATGACTCATTAATGGAAGGAAATTTGCTGTATGAAACCCCCATCCCTCTACCGCTTTAATCAAAACTGAACCAACAACAAATAACATCCAGTTTAGAACAGTAATGTGAAAAGGACCTTTATCTTTGTAAAAGTAATATGAGTCCTTTATTGTAAGGAACTCCATTCTAGATTTTTCCCATTTTCAACCTCTTCATTCTGCTTCTGAATTGCTGTGGTGTGCTGTTTAAAATGTTCATAGTGTTTCCTATACTGCTTTCCCTTTTTCACCACCCAATCTTCCTCACTTTTAAATAAACTGCCTCTCAATGGTGTCATTATAGCACCCCTCTACCGCTTTAATCAAAATTGAACCAACAACAAATAACATCCAGTTTAGAACAGTAATGTGAAAAGGACCTTTATCTTTGCAAAAGTAATATGAGTCCTTTATTGTAAGGAACTCCATTCTAGACAGGATAGAGTAGAGATAGGGTTCTAATCTAGTCTAACTAGCTAGGATGGTCAGAGAAGCAGGGAGCATGTCCTGCCCTCATGGTGCCAAGATGGAAAAGAGTGGCACAGTGTGGAGAGAAGGTGTCAGGATGGAAGGAAGGAAGATTCCCTGAGAGTAGCAATCTACCCATCAAAGGGACAGCATCAGAGCAGTAGAAAGGAGGGATGATCAGGGTCCTGGCCTCTCTCTCTCTCTGACTCTTTATAGTCTCCCCTCTGAAGTCTGAAGCTAAGAGACAGTGCAAAGTCCTTCACTTCCAACATATTAAATGGCAGACAAAACCACTCTTACCAGGACAAATACAGTTGCATCTGATGCCTTGATCAACAAAGTCAGCTGCGACAGATTTGGTGAGACCAATGACTGCAGCCTTTGAGGTGCTGTAGACGCACCGATTGGCAACTCCTAAGAGAGAACAGGATTAAATCATGCTTGAGAGAAAAATAATGTTGCATCTCACTAGAGGCTCCTAAGCCTGCTTTCTCACTAGCTTCATCTGAACTGCCAGGAGATGCTCTGAACTTCTTGTCCAGTTATTTCTTATAAAAAGTTTGTAAGATTTCAGGGTTCCTCCTTATAAATATTTCTGGGTTTTGATTCCATAGAAGTTACTTTGCTTTTTCACTGTGTACACATTAAAAATGCTGTCTGTTTAGTCTATTAGTTTCCTCCATAAGTTTGTTCCTATCATGTTTTTCTTATTCTTACAGATGCTGTCGTCTCATTTGGCCTCTGCCCTGGGTCCTCCTGTAAGGGCTCATTTGGGTATAAAACTTTGATGCTTTCATCCCCAGGAAAATCACAACTGTAAAAGGTCAGCTTTTCATCAGCATACACATTTGCTATTGGTCCTCTTCCACAGGGCTAAATCAGCAGCCTTTTAGTATCTGTGCTGCAAGGCTTTAGGACAATTGATTTGAGATGGTAGCCTTGACTCTAAAGTCCAAAACTACATCTTACGTGGAGGTTGGTGTCATTTTTAAAGTGAAAAGCAGCTGGAGGTCCCAGTAACTTTCCCCAGGGGCGTGAAAGAGAAAGGACAACTGGGGCTATTTTAAGATTTAAAAAGCCTTCCAGCAAGGAAAGGGCTAAACACAGTCTTCCCCACTCCTTCGGCCTCAAGTCTTGACTACAATTTCCAATGGATCCTGGTCCCCTAGAAATCACACACCCCATATCTAGGCAAGTTACAGTAAACAGTGTGTAATATGTGGTTCAGTACTAAGAAGGCACTCTACCCACCAAAACTTAGTTGGCCTGGAGGACCAACTTCACATGGAACTCTTCTAAAACTTTATATATTACTCTTCTCGACACAGGTCTTAATACTCATGAAAACACCGTGAACACCACACTGTCTCGTGGAGTAACAGCAGATAACTTTTGTGCTCTGAGTATATAGCAGGAAGTTTATTTTATTTATTTATTTTTAAATTTATATCCCGCCCTCCCCGAAGGCTCAGGGCGGCTCACAAGGGGCATAAATGCCGAAGTTAAAACAATAAAACAACACAAAACAGTATAAAATACAATAAATACAATTCACTAAATTGAGGTGTATACCTGTTGTATCTAGAATGAGAATTATTACTGTTCTCATGATTGGAAAACACCCCCCCCCTCCCGGATGAGTACTGATATTCATGCAAACAGTAACATCTGAAAAGGCACTGAAATGGAGTATGTGATTCAGAGGGATCTCATGCAATAATATGGCCATAGCCCCAGAATAATCAGCAGCCATCTTCTAACATGATGGGCACTCACTCACTTAATAATAAGAATTGTGTGCAGTCAAGGCACAGCCAACTGAAGGCAACCCCAGGACCATGAAGTTTCCAAGGCAAGTGAGTGGGCAGAGGTGGTTGGCCATTGCCTCCCTCTGCACAGCAACCCAAGTCTTCCTTGGTGGTCACCCATCCAGGTACTAACCGTGGCCAGCCCTGCTTAGCTTTCAAGCTGTGGTGAAATTGGGCTAGTCAGGGCTGTTCACTCACTTAGACATGCCTCAATAAGGTAAACAAACACACAATATTAGAATGAGTTTTAAGAACTGACTGACCTTTGATGCTGGATGCCACAGAAGACATGTTGATAATATTACCTGATTTCTGCTCAAGCATCTGTAAAACATGCCCCCCCATGTTATACCATTATGATAAAAGTATCTTATTTTAAGACAGAACTTAACACTTTTGTCAGGAATGTAGATTAAAGGTACTGCCAGAGAGCAATCTGGTACATGAGCAGCACTACCAGATTCATTAGGGTTGCCAAGTGCTTTCTTACCTGGAGTGGGGGACTCCCGGGTTGCGTCTGGAGCGCGCGCACCGCACGCACATCACCCAGAAGTGACGTGACGATGCGGGGCACACTGGGGACGGGGCCATGACCATCCGAGGGAAAACCATAGAGTTTTCCCTCGGATGACCGTGGCCCCGCCCCCAGCGTGCCCCGCATCGTCACATCACTTCCGGGTGACGTGCACGTCGGGGTGGGGTTCCCCCCGGGGCCCGATCCGCCGGTGGCGGGGAACGGGCCTCTGGGGCGGGGTTTTCCCCACCCCCTGGGGGGACTTGGCAAGCCTAAGATTAATATATATTTGATGTATAAAAGGAAAGATCAATTGTCTTATCCCATAAGTCTCTGTACCAGCAACTAAGTATTTAGCCTGGCTGCCTATTTTAGAACTAAATAGCACTATGAGCTGTTCCAGGACAAGGTTCCAGGACCTGAAAGACCTTCCTGAAAATAAGCTAGTAGGCCTGATATAGTAAATAATTACAGAAATGTAAAGGGATGTTAGTCAGGAGGACAGATGCTTGACAATATTAGGCTTTATACATCTGTATAAATAATACAATAGTCCTCTCTCCTATTACACAGAAGACAGAGAATAATGTTCCTAGAAAAACCATGGGAACACAAAGCTTGATTATTTTCAAAAGGATGGATAAAAGTATATTAATAAAGTAGCATCAAATCACAACCAACCTATGGTGATCCCTCATGGAATTTTCAAGGCAAGAAATAAGCACAAGTAAGCCACATTGCCCACCTCTGCAGAGCAACCCTGGTGCTCCTTTGCAGTCTCCCACCTGAGGACCAACCATGACTGACCCTGCTTAGCCTCCAAGTTCTGACAAGCTCAGGCTAGCCTGGGCTATTCAGGCTGCTGTATTCCTTTGCTTGGTGTTGATTTAATGGGATGAATGAGATATTTTCTCTTCCCCTTTCCTGCATAAGCCGATTTTTCACCTTGCTCACATTCAGCATTTAAACTAACTTTTTACTAACATATATTTGTGAACACATACGTATGTACATTTAGGTCCTTTTATGGTACCTAACCCAACTACTTTTACCACCTTCACTCACTACACCAACTTAGGCCTTTCCTTGAAAGAGAAGATATGCCCGCTGTTACACATGTTCTGATCACCTCTAGGTTAGACTACTACAGTTCACCTCTACAAGGGGGCCTCCTGTAGACACTGTAGAAACGTCAATGATTGCAAAATGCAGCGGACTGCTGATTGGCATTAGTTATGAAAACCACATTATGTCATATTATATTATATTATATTATATTATATTATATTATATTATATTATATTATATTATATTATATTATATTATATTATATTATATTATATCGTATCGTATCGTATCGTATCGTATCGTATCGTATTATATTAATTATATTACACTACACTACACTATATTATATACAGGCTCCCATTCATTTCCAAGCCTAAGTCAAAGGGCTGGGTATTACCTTTCAAGTCTAAATGGCTTGGAACTAGGGTTGTGTACACACCTGCCCATCAGTTAAGTCAGCCTTCTGAGGCCTTAATACATTTACCTCCATTTTTAGAGGTCAGAATAACAACAAAGAAAGGCCTCTTCAGTTGTGGCCCCTAATTCTGGCAACCTCTCCCCTTGCCTACTTTTCTGCTGCTGAGCTTGTTAAGCTTTCAGGGACAAGTGATTACAATGGGTAGGATCTACGGGAAGAGTTCACATGTCATGTTGGCTGAGCACGTCTTTCCCCGCCTTCTCCTTCCTCAGGCAACCTGTAATTTGTCCTGAAATTTTTCTTTAACGATAGGCTGAGCTTTATAACCAGGATGAATTACAGGACGGGGCTGCTACAAATAAAGAGAACAAGTGATTACAGTGGGTAGGATCTACTGGAAGAGTTCACATGTCATGTTGGCTGAGCACGTCTTTCCCCACCTTCTCCTTCCTCGGGCAACCTGTAATTTGTCCTGAAATTCTTCTTTAACGATTGGCTGAGCTTTATAACCAAGATGAATTGCAGGACGGGGCTGCTACAAATAAAGAGAATCAAGGAAAATAGCCTCTTTCCCCTCTCTTCCACAGCTGCAAGTCATGGAACAGAACAGAGAAAGTGATTATACTTGTCGCTGCAAAACCACCACCACCCCCTTTCTGAGGTGTATTTTGCATGTCAGGATTGGCCTATCCACAGAGAGCAGTTGTATGGCAAATGACAGATTGCCTGGGGAAAGAGAAGGTTACAGAAAGAAGAAGAAGAGTTGGATTTATATCCCACCCTTCACTTGGAGTCTCAGAGCGGCTTACAATCTCCTTTCCCTTTCTCTCCCCACAACAGACACCCTGTGAGGTAGGTGGGGCTGAGAGAGCTCTGACAGAAACTGCTCTTGAGAGAACAGCTCTGAAAGAACTGTGGCTTGCCCAAGGTCACTCAGCTGGCTGCATGTGGAGAACTGGGGAATCAAACCTAGATTTTCAGATTAGAGTCTGCTGCTCTTAAGCACTACACCAAACTGGCTCTCCTTCCTCCCTAAAATCCCTTCCATCAGCTCCTTGTGTGAACTCTTCTGGTGAATCCAGCCCATTAATTTCTTCAGGTATTTTGACTTTGGAGTTCTAAAAAAAATTGGTCCGTTTTAATTGTATAAAATACCATGTGTGATATAAGCCACCTCAAGAACCGGCAAGGGATGTGAAATGTGGGATATACTTAGAAAAAAGAAATAAAGACTAGAGCGGAAGGTACGTTGGCCTTGCCTTGGGGAGGAATGCTTTGATCATCAGATACATGCTACGAACATTGACCGTCATTGTAAAGTCCCAGTCCTTTTCGTCGCAATCCAAAATGGTTCCATGATGTACATACCTGGGATGGAAGACAGATGGAAGAGAGTGATGAATTTCAGACAGACGATATAATCCGGAAGAGGAACAGTTCCCAAACGGTTTCTGGTCTGTCATTTCAGACAGAACCGTTTTAGAACTGGCTCCCTACCGGAATATATTTGTAATTTCACATACAAACACTTCTGTCCCATTTAGGAAACGGGGCTGAAGCGTTTTACCCGTCAACCGCTTCCAAGTAGTCTTCAGTTTCCTCTCCCAGTTCCGATGCGCTTTCCCCCCGCCGTTTTTCGCCCGCGCGGGCAATCTCCAGCTTTTTTAAAAAAAGTTTGCTTTATAGCGTTATATATCAACGCCATTGGAATGCCTGGAGTGTTTTGTTATAGTGCTATAGCGCTATAACGCTTTCCACTTTGATCCCAAAGTGGGCTCACAAAGGTTGACAGGGCACAGTCGCACACACTGAAGTTCTCCATCTCCTGCAGCAATTATTCCCATAGGCATCCCCTTCAAGGCTAGGCACTGGCATCCCTGTTTTCATAAACAGCTGCTTTCATACTAAGCAAACTGTTAACAGTCAGACTAGCAAAGAATCTGGGTTCAATAAGGATGCTAAGAAGTTTCTGTTAAAGATTCTGCCTTCTCCACTCAGAACTGCAAGCTACCTGCACAGGACCCCTCTGAACGCACTGAGAGGGGGAACGGGCAACAGTGTGCTGGTCCCACCCTCTGCCTTAGCACGACTGCCAGCTTGTGAGCACAGCATCTATGCACACAGGAAATGTCCACGCATACACCCCCTCCCCGTAATTAGGGACATTCGCAAAGCAGTGTCTCCAATCACAGGGAGGGAACATATGCACAGACACTTCCTCCATGCTAACGAATGCTCAAAAGCTAGTGGAGGTGAGGCCAAAACGCTTATGCCCATTCTCTGTCCACACGTAGAAAGGCCATGTATCCAGTCTTCAAAGTTCCTGATGGTGGTATGGAGAATAATGTCAACCATGTACTTTCATTTCTCCTCTTCTGTACCTAGGGTTTCCAGGCCCTACCTGCAGAAGGGCTGGAGGCAGTGATATGGAGGGAGCAGAATGTCAGCAAAAATGGGTAGCTCTAGGAATTGCTCCAGGAAACTTTAGGTAAAACCATAGAGCTTCTGGTAATTCCTAGAACTACTCCATGTCATTTCTGGGTTTACCAGATGTTGCAGCATTATAGATGCTGAGTAGCTAAGATTGTTAACATTTCTGTTGAAACCAAACCAAACCAAGAGACCAGCTCTGGTTTTAAAAACCAGACTTGCAAGGACAGGGGGATTAAAACATCATTGACCACATTACCCTGCAACATTACAGAGAACATCGATTTTTTTCACTTCCTTGGCCAGATTTTCAATTTGCCCTTTGTTGGTGACATCCAGCACCCGAACTTGAATGCCTATGAAAGATATTTAAACAACACATATGCCGTAATATTAGATGTTATACTGTCCCGATCAAGAAAGACTAAGTGGCACATCACAAGTGATAAATGTGCACATTATACTGCTGTTACCGGGCCATGATTCACAAAACAATTAAGACTAGCCTGCTCACTGGGGCCAAGGGCCATAAGCAGAGGATGAGTGGCTGTGCCATGCTAGGGAAGAAGAAGAAGAAGCACAGAGCCACCCACATGTCCCCTCTTTGCACTTCCAGCATGAACCAAAAAATGCAAAGAGGGATTTTGTTCCCTTCCTCTTCAGCCACAGTTGGAGGCCACAGGTGTTCTCAGGGAAAACGCAAAACTTTTGCCTCTGAATAGTACTTCGGGATGCATGCAATCACTTGAACCACCAATTATGCTGCACACAAAGCAAATTTTATTTGTTTGTTTGTTTGTTTATAATCCGCCTTTCTCATTGGGACTCAAGGTGGATTACACAGAATGTCAGTATGATCAACAGCATGTGACATCCGGTAGACAATGCAATAAGATTTGACTTGTAGAAATCTGGAAACCAACCAGAGGTGAAGCACAGCATACTTATTAAGATGAAACATTAAACAAAAGCAAAAATTACATAGAAGGAACCTACTTAAAGCAACAGACAGTACAAACTATATACAGTGGTATAGTCTACAATCTCTAACCCTTTACCCCAAGCTTCTTTCTGAACTATATTGTTAACAGGGCAGCCCTGTTTCCCATGCAAAAAGCTCTCTTGAATAATTCAATTTTGCATAGCTTGCAAAAAGCTTGGAGACTGGAAGCCCTCCTGACTTCATCAGCCATTCCACATGGCAAGGGCCACAACAGAGAATGCATGTGTACAGGCAGTTGTTGATCTTGTCCATTTGCAGGTTGGTTCCCTGTTTGGGGCTCTGCCCAGGAGCTCCAAGGTTCGCAGAAATCCCAAGGAAACGATCCAGGTTTGCTTACAAGGAAATTTTAATAAGCAGTGATCAAGCTTACAGAAATATAAGGCTAAACTCCCATCCACTGGGTCTTGAACACACACACACACACACACACACACACACACACACACACACACACACAGCCAGACCTTGAGATGTGATGCATAGCTAAAACTAAACATTTTATATCCTAATTACTGGCTACAAGTCGAGAAATCATTAATCAAGCTATCCCAAATCCTAGATGAGCCAGGCCGTCTCATACCTGCTGTCTACTGGTGAGAGAAAACAAATCAGGCTTCCTATATAAGAGCTGCTAAGAAGCATGAAAGAGAAGAATATTCTCTTGGGAGCAGCCTGACAGCTGTCCCCTCACACAACTCGGGACAACTAAAGGTCAAGCAGCAGCCTGTAACAAAGATGGAGTTACAGAGGCCATACACTCTCGCAAAAGGCCCTGCTCACTGGAGCATAGAGGGAGCGGTGGCCCCGTAGATATGAGGGACCAAGGCCATGGAGGGCTTTGAATGTAATAGCTAGTACCTTAAATTAGCCTCTTGAAGAACATGCACAGTATTAGGTACTCAACGGTCCACACTCCAGGCCCATTGTTGGTAATACATGTTGCTGTTTTGCTGAGTCACGCTGTAACAGTGTAAAATTTATAAAAGGGAGATGAATTACAGCAAGAAACACTGGGACCAGATTTACGGCAAAGACTGGCCCCATCTCTTCTGGCTTTAGGCCCATCTAGACATCCTTGATGTCCATACAGTGGAATACTTTTGGTGTGGGTCACTGGCAGTGTGCTGAATAACCATAAAACACTGTCTGTGCGTCAGTCACCATGCTCATCACTGCTAGCCCAAAGGCCCTTCGCTAGTATGATCAGGGATGAACAGCACTCTTCTCTCATAGCCAGCAATGGACATTTCATATTGTCATTTGAATTCAACAGTGCCATCCGCTGGAAGACATTCAAAGTACGCAAAGAGATTATGACAACCCCATATTTGTGGCTTGCTTTCCAATTAGTCAGTCATGCTTCAGCACTTCCCATTCCAACAATTATGGAACAGTGACACAGAGCTCACAATGCACCTCCGAATTGCTATGAATAATTTCCCTGTGCTGAACATGCATCTTCGCAGTTCAAGGTTAAAACTGTCCACACCCAAATGCCCACAGCTGAATAACTGCTGTCAATCTATTATACCTGGAAAATGCAGGTGACACAACATGTTATTAAACTAGTTTTTAAACCCCAGATTTATCTGCTGCTAGACCAAGTTATGAAAGGCTTTGGCTAATTGTTCTCGCATCTGGAGATAAGAGGAATCACCAGGGAATTTGCTGGCAAAGAAGAAGAAGAGATTGGATTTATACCCCGTCCTTCACTACCCAGAGGAGTCTCAGAGTGGCTTACAAACTCCTTTCCCTTCCCCTCCGCACAACAGACACCCTGTGAGGTAGGTGGGGCTGAGAGAGCTCTGACAGAAACTGCTCTTTTTCAAGGACAGCTTTGACAGAACTATGGCTTGCCCAAGGTCATCCAGCAGGTGCAAGTGGAGGAGTGGGGAATCAAACCTGGTTCTCCCAGATTAGATTCTGCGCATTTAACCACTACACCAAACTGGCCCTACAAAACAGTTTTTACAGGTAGGTCCAACACATGTTCATTTTAAAATATCACTGTGGTTCTTACATAAATCAGCCTAGGACTGAAACTGTAGCCAAGTGCAGAACTGCGGATAGGATGCTTCAACTTGAACTGAGGACACACGGGGTTCCAAATCAATAGAGATATACCTGGAAATGCTTCTAGTTCTCGAAGTTTGGACTCATTGACATCTGTAGCAATGACCTGGGCTCCTTCCTTAGCAAAGGCCTTGAAAGCAAAACAATCCACTGTTAAGATTTAATGAGTCACAGGCAATGCTCCCTCTAAGCCGTGGAGTCTTGTGAGCAAAAATTCTACTTTGTGGGCTACTGGCATTAAAGTTGTGAGCGAGCAATTTGGCTACTGCATGAATTAGTTTGCTCTGGAGCCCTCCTTCCTGAGCCGAGACAAAAATGTGTGAGCCAGAGGCTAAAAAACTGTGAGCTAGCTCACACTAACTCAGCTTAGAGGGAACACTAGTCACAGGCCACTTCCCGCTTGCCATTCAGCCCTCGGAGGCAGTTGGCGAAAGGACCAAGGAAGGATTTGTTTTAGGGCTCTCCACACAATGCCTACAAAACTGGGGGAGACCAATAAATAAAAGAATGTACTTTGAATGGTACAGTTCAGAATCAACCCCCTCCCTATCCCTCCCCTACACTGCCCCGTATACCATCCATTACATGAAGCTAAATTTACTGAGTTAGACCCCTGGTCATCTAACACAGAACTGTTTACTGTGGCTACAGGTGGCATCCCATGACACCCGGTAAAGAAAGATCGTTTCCAGCCCATGAATCATAGCCAGGGAACCACAGTCTGAAGCCAGAATGTCCTGCTTGTTTACTATTAATACCTTCTGTTCGATAAGCATCTACATAAGCATTCCTCTCATCTCTTGATTGTGATGCCCCAAGGAAACCGTCTTGTGGTGTGTAGACGGGATGTGAGTCAAGCTGGCAGTTATACCAAATGCATGAGCCTTAAATAAGATATGCTGCCAGTTAACTAGGGTTGCCAACTCTGGCTTGGGAAATTCCTGGATATTTGGGGGTGGAGCCTGGGGAAGGCAGGGTTTGGGCAGGGGAAGGACCTCAGTGGCTAGAGTTCAGCCTCCAAAGAAACCAGGGGAGCTTATCTCTGTAGTCTGGAGACCAGTTGTAATTTTGGGAGCTCTCCATGGCTACAGCTGGAGGTTGACAACCCTATCTAAAACATATCCAAGGCTTGTACCTTTGCTACAAGGGTATTTACAAAGGGCACCACTTTTTAAAAACATGTTTTCATAGAGAGTGGTGCTTTGGTTTACAATACAGAGCACATCCCATTGTTCTGATTTGGGATGTTTAACCTGGTGGTCAGCCTCACTCCCACAACATAAAGCATAAGATACCTGTAGTTTCCAGTTATGGAAACAGTTGCATAGCCACACACAGCGGAAAGCCAACAAATGGACTTACAATGGCAGCTGCTCGGCCAATCCCTTGAGCTGCAGCAGAGAGTACTATATGCTTTCCATCAAGCCGTCCCATGGTACAACCTGTGGAAATTTGGAGTTGATTATGGAAGGAAAACAGGGTTGCACTTACCTGTAACTGTTGTTCATCGAGTAGCCTTCTGTGCAGGCACACATGGGGACTACATAGGGTTGCCAAGTGCTTACCTGTTCCGGAGCGGGGGAGTCCAGCCTTGCTCCATGAGTCTTTGTGCGCGTGCGCCACAAGCACATCACACGGAAGCACGTCAGGGACATTGGGGGCAGGGCCACAATCATCCGAGCGAAAACCATAGAGTTTTCCCTCGGATGATTGTGGCCCCGCCCCCAACGTCCCCGATGTGCTTGCGTCACTTCCGTGTGACGTGCTTTGGGGGGGGGGTTCTCCCCGTGCTTTGGGGGTGGGGTTCCCTCCGGGGGCCCGATCCGGCGGCAGCGGGGAACAGGCCTCCTGCGCGGGGGTTTCCCCACCCCCTGGGGGGACTTGGCATCCCTAGGACTACATGATTGCAGGCCAGCCACGGAGAATAGCTTCCAAGCTTGTCTAAAGAAGCTTCTAGGCTCTGGAGTGCTCCTCCTCCCCTCTGTCTATAGAGGTCGTTTTTCCCACGCAAAGGGTCACGTGACAGAGGCAGGGCAAGCACTCCTTCCCTCAGCTCCCGTCGCCGCTGTGAGGAAGCCCAGGCACATTTGGTAGACCACAGCAGGGAAAGGAGGGAGGGAGGGATGTGTGCCAGCACAGAAGGCCACTTGATGAACAACCGTTACAGGTACGTACAACTCCATTTTCATCATTGTGGCTTCTGCGCAGTCCCACATGGGAGAATAGCAAGCTCACCTACCCTAGGAGAGGGTGTGGGCTGATCAATGGAAAATCACTTGTAATAACAACAACAACAACAACAACAATAATAATTTTTCAATTTATTGATCGCTTAATCCTTGCAGAGCTGCTGGCTCTGAGCGATTTACAGTTACTCATTTCACAAGGGACTAACAATGCTTTATAGGGGTAAGGGAGGACAACACATATAATCTTTACATAGCACACGTTTTGCAGCCGACGGGGATTTGTTCAGTTGCAACTCAGATGTGATCCGGATGGCATTTTTCCCACTCGGCTTGGCTTGGCTAGATGACGTCAGCTCTTCCTCTCCAGGACTCTTCGGGTTGCAGCTCCATACTGCCACCGCCTGGCCGGAACGGCCCATTACAGGCTTCTTGATGCCGAAGAGATCTTCTAGGCTTTTCGATCTTGCGAGCCAAACCTTCCGTTCACCGGCTAAAACCTCCCCCATGGGGGGGGGTTGGTGTGCCCACCCTCTCTAAGGAGTGGTACCCATTTTATCTACTCGCCGAAGCTTTCAAACCGCTCGGTGGACGGCGAGGTGGGGACAAGGCTGGTAGCTCACACCAGCGCGGGGCTAGAACTGACAGCAGTTCTGTTCAGCTCAGATGTTACTTGTAACCAGAAGATAAATCCCCTGTGCCACTGCAGAACTTTTCCCACTGCAGCTTCACTTCTGGAGTCCACGTCCATCGAGTAGTGCTTGATGAACACAGAGGACCAAGTCGCTGCCTTGCCGATGTTCCCCAGCATGAGTCTGGCACGGAATACTGCTAAAGACACCTGAGCCCATGTCAAGTGAGCTTTCCGGGACACTGGGCAAGAGACCTTAGCTTCGTCGTAAGCTGTTCAGATTGCAGAGAGCACCCAGTGGGTGACTGTGCTGATGCAGCTCTCCCTTTATTTGACCTTTTGAAACATACGAACAAGTTTCTATCCCACCTGAATACTTGTGTCCTTTTTAAATAAAAAAGGATTGCTCTTTGTACATCTAGTGTATGTAGCGTTTGTTCCGACAATGATGTCAGGGATGTGAAGAATACTGGGAGGGTGATGTCTTGGTTGAGGTGGAATTGTGATACCACCTTAGGGAGAAACTCTACACTAGGTCTAAGTACTACCTTGTCTGGGTGGAATTTAATAAAAGGAGGGTCATAGTGCAGTGCCCATAGTTCGCTTACCCTTCTGGCATAGGTAATCGCTATCGAAAAGGCAGTTTTATAAGCGACTAAAGACAAGTCAGCATTGAAGAAGAAGAAGAAGAGAAGCTGGGACCAATGTTCCCTCTAAGCTGAGTTAGTGTGAGCTAGCTCACAGTTTTTTAGCCTCCGGCTCACACATTTTTGTCTTAGCTCAGGAAGGATGGCTCCAGAGCATACTAATTTATGCAGGAGCCAAATCGCTCACTCACAACTTTAATGCCGGTAGCTCACAAAGTCGAATTTTTGCTCACAAGACTCCACAGCTTACAGGGAACATTGACTGGGACATGAAATGGTGGCTAGGTAAACCTTTATAGATGAAGTCGCTAGACCCCCTTCTTGCAGTTCCAGTAGGTAAAGATTTTGCTAAAGCTACACTATTGTGAATCAAGGCCACTTGTCACTCCAGTGCACAAACCTTTTCCATTTATAACTGTACAACCTTCTCATTGTGGGTTTGCAAGAGGCAGTTATAACCTGTTCAGCCTTCTGTGAAAACCCCTCTACTGTAGGATTAGCCGAGCAGTCAGATGCAACGATTCTACCTGAGGATGGCAAACAGGCCCTATGTGGAGCAGGTCTTCCTCTAGGGGCAACGTCATGTGTCACCCTTTGGCCAGCTTCCATAGTGTGGGCCTGTTTGGTGAAGTTGCTGCAATGGGCACAAGACTCAGGCTTATGGGTCTCATCCAAGCAGAAGGCACAGGGAATGCCCGTCGGTGGTTGGGATCTTTCCTTCACAATTTTGGCAGACTTTGAAGAGAGTCTTCCCTTCCATGTCCCACACCAAGGACCTGGGGGGAGAGGGAAAGGGAGACAGTCAACGACAAAAGACTCATGGAGGTTTCCTTTTTAAAAAAATAATATATTTCTTGAGTTTTTATGCTTAGTAGACACACGCACACATAAACAACAACATCATACATACACTAACACTACAACTATTTTTTCACCACATCACATTGATCAAACACTTTGGTTATACCTAAATGTATTATGGATTCTATCTATTCTCATATTAACCCACTAGAATTTCACTTTCACAAAAGACTCATGGAGGTTTCCTTTTTTTTTTTTTGTTGTGTTTCTTGAGTTTTTATGCTTAGTAGACACACGCACACATAAACAACAACAACATCATACATACACTAACACTACAACATGATGGTTGAGAAGACACTGAGTGGGAGGGCATTCCTTCCCTGCTCCAGGCATTCACAGTCAGTTCTTGCTCCCCAGAGCGTGGGAAGAGAATGCGCCAAATGCCAGAGGCTAGCTCTTGTAGTTCTCCAAGATCGGGTTTGAGCGCAGGCACAGAACCCCCTGTGTGGGACTGCACAGAGACCATAAAGTAGAAGAGGTGGACACGCCATTGCCATGGAAGGCTTCCCGCATACAACCTGTACCTGTGGCTGTTCTGAAGCAGACGTGATGGCATTATTTGTTGCCTACCTATGCAAATAGGTCTACCTCAAGGACCCTCCCATTTGCTGAAGATTGGGGCCATATAGCGGTCTGATACGGACCACTCTTGTTCTGCACTTGTGTCCCTGCTTAGGCTGTCTGCTACTGTGGTGTTTAGACCTGCTATATGAACAGCTGTCAATTGCAACCTGTGCCTTATTGCCCATTGCCTGATGAGTGTGGCCTCTCTGCACAAGTGGTGCCTCCCTGCTTGTTCAGGTAGAACTTTGTCCATGGCCTGATGAGTGTGGCCTCTCTGCTTGTTCAGGTAGAACTTTGTTGTGATGTTGTCCATTGCTACCAGAATGTGTCTTCCTCTGATGATCTCTGTAAAAGAAGCGAGAGCAAGTTTGATGGCTCTCAGCTCTAACAGGTTAATGTGAAGGATGTATTCTTTCTTAGTCCACATCCCTTTCACCATGAGTCCCTGCCAGTGAGCACCCCAGTGAGTGAAGTGTCAGTGAAGAGGTGGGCACCAAGGAGGTTCTCTGATATGGACCACCAAAGACCTTACAATGACTCTCAGTACAGATAGTTTCCTCCAGTGAGGTTCAGAACTGCTGTTGAAGTTCCTTATAAACCAATTTTGCAATGGCCTCATGCATAAGCGAGCATATGGGACCACTGCAGTGGTGGAAGCCATATAACCTAGAAGTGTTTGGTTGACTGGTATCTGTTCAACAGAAATTTCTTAACAAGGGCCAACATAATCTTGGCCCTGGCAAGGGGCAAATATGCTTTCCTTTTTAGGGGACCTAAAGAGGCCCCAATGAAGTTGATAAATTGAATGGGAGTGAGAAGAGATTTCTCCCAGTTTACCAAAAAAACCCAAGTGATTGAATAGTGTGCAGGGCCAAGCCTGTCTGGGGAGTCATCGACAAAGAGCCAGTCATCCAGGTAAGGGTACACTGTACAACCTTTTACTTCAAATTAGCTATAACCTGTGCAATACACTTGGTAAATACTCTAGGTGCTGTTGTGAGCCCAAAGGGGAGCACTGCATCCTCAGAGATGGTGCCTGAATAGCTGAACCTCAAGTACTTCCTACTGTCCTCGTGTATCGAGATATGGAAGTACGTGTCCTTTAAATCTAGTGTGGTGAACCAAACGTTGGGAGCCATAAAGGACATCACCTCTTGTATGGATAACATCCTGAACTTTGGGACATTCAAATATTTATTCAGGAATCTTAGGTATAAGATAAGCCTCTTATCCCCACCTTTTTTTTCAATGGTGAAATATCTAGAAAAGGAGCCTCAGGAACGAGCTCTGTAACTGCTCCTTTAGCTAATAGAGAGGAGACCTCTTGCATTAGAAAGGGGGAGGGTTTGTGGAGGCAATGATTTGACATCCCAAAAATAACCTCTATTCTGGATAACATCCAACCATCAACAGTAACTTGGCACCACTTATAAAAGAACTTGGATAACCAATGGTCAGAACCTAGTCAGGCAGATGGGGCACTTCTAGAGTGCTGGTCCCTAGGGGATTGGGAGGACTTTCTTCCCAATTGTCTATCCTGCCTCTTGGGCTGGGATTGCTGAGTATAAGGATGCCTGAAGCCCTGCTGGAGGAGCTTAGTCTGTAGTCCTGTACTTGATAGGGCCTTGATTGGGGATACTTCTGGGAATGCCTTGGCAAGTATCTTTGTTTAAAAGGTGTCAATGAAGTATGGGTTATGCCCAGGAATTTGACTGTCAACTTGTTCTTCCTAATCTGATCCAAAACTGCATTGGTTTGGTCACTGAATAGGGCTCGACCTTCAAATGGGAGATCCTTTATTTTGGCTCTCATATCCAGCAGAAAGGCTGAGGAGTGTAACCATGAATATCTCCGTATGACAATGCCAGAGGCTACTGACCTACTATTACAATCTGTTCCATTAAGCTGTTGTTTCCCTAACTTTTGCCCTTCTGCAATGAGGACCTTAGTCATACTCCGCTCATCAACAGACAGCGACTTGAGGAACTGTGACATCTTTTCCCATAGTAACATTTGGTAATGGCCCATGACCACTGTAAAATTACCCACCTTCAGTCCCATAGCCATGGAGGAGTAGCTCTTCCTTCCCAGCAGGTCGAGTCTTCTGCCCTCTTTATTGAGGGGGGATGAATGGCTTCCAGCTCTTCCCTTGGCTGGAAAGACCTCTGAGACTATGGAGTTTGCTTGAGGGTGGCAAAACAAACAGTCATAGCCTTCTTCCCTGATCCTGTAGAGGTTTTCCAGCTTCTTTGACGATGCTGGTGCCAAGGCTGGTTTAGCCCTGATGGCTAAAGCTATGTCCTGTATCCCTTGCAACAGTGGGAGTGCCACAGGGCCCGCTGTCGGGGCTGTATAAAACCTTCATTATAAGGTTGGATGGTTGTGGCTCTGAAGCATTAAACTCTAGACCCAGGGCTTTCGCCATTCAGATCAACTGCTCCAAATACATCTTAAGGTCCTCTGATGGAGAGGAAGTGGACAGGACAGCAACCATATCATCAGGAGATGGCACTGAAGTGGTCTCTGAGCCTGCTTCTGAATCCTCTGAGTCAGAACGTGAGGAGGGGAACCCCTGCCAGAGTGGAATTGGTCCTGGTGGTCCCGTCTGGATCTCATGGAATATTCTACAGGTTGCTTGCCATGGGGTGCCATGCAGCCTGTGGGGGTGCCCATTGTGCCCAATGCGGTGGCATCATGAATGGAAATGGGCACCATGGATTTTGCTGAGATGGCTACTGATTTGGTGGCTGTAGATTTGGTTGCTCTTTGTGATATGGGTGGGCCTGTGGGAGGCACCTCAAAGACCTCATTTTCTGAGGAATCTGGGGACCCTGATACCCTTCTCAATGGTGAGGGTGTCTTTGGATGCAAAAATGAGTTGACATCGAGTCCCGATGGTGAATTGTGGAGCTGGGGGAGGGGGCTTTGGTTCAAAGATCGTCAGTGTTGATGCTCAGCTCTGAGGAGAGACTGATCAGTGGGGTCAGGACAGGGAGGATTGATGACCTCAAGCAGGTGAGCTAGTCAATTCTGAGGGCCACTTGAATGGTGCCAATGCGACAATGATTGGGCTGGACTGTGCTGTGAGTGTTTGGCATTCTTTTTAGCCTTTTTCGGAGGCACTTCTGACACCAATCTTGGGGTAGAGACATGAGTTTGCGGCTCCGATAACAAGGGTGTTGGTGCTGGTCACCGACTGGACTCTCACACCCTTATCCATTTAGGCCCATTTTTCCCCGCAGGGGTCTGGGGCATCCAGAGCTTTCCCCAAAACATGGCTTTAAGTCTTGCTGCTTTCCCCTTGCATGCTTTAGGAGTAAGGCATCTACAAGCTGGGCACGTGGTTGTATCGTGGCCCTCTCCCAGACATAGGAAGCATAAGGAATGATCATAATTTTGGGCCATTTTCGCTCTGCACTCCCTGCACTTCTTAAATAGAGCCATCCTACCAATTTGTAGGTGTAACCTTTCACTGTTTTCTGTGGAAAAACCTTGTGGTTTTATTCCTGAGGCCCCATGAGGCAGCAGCTTAGAAGCACATCCTCTCCTCATGGTAGCAAGAAGAGAACTGAGGGAAGGATTTTCACTGTTTTCTGTGGTAGCAAGAAGAGAACTGAGGGAAGGAGTGTTTGCCCTGCCTCTGTCACATGACTCTGGGCGGGAAAAGGGACCTCTATAGACAGAGGGGAGGGGGAGCACTCCAGAGACTAGGAACTTCTTTAGAAAATTTTTGGAAGCTCTTTCCCACGGCTGGCCTGCAGTCATGCAGGCCGTGTGGGACTGCACAGAAACCACAACGACGAACAAGTGCACTGGAGAAGATTCATGTTATTGGTTATAACTTTATTAGACATATCAATAAATCTGAATATCCTTTAGTTTGTATGCATAACATTTGCCTATATGGTAAGCGAAATTTAATTGATTACATACAGTATCAAACAGGTGATTTTTTTGGATTCTCTAATTAGATTGTATGGTTTATGTCATTGTTATTTATTTTCAAAATGCAGCAAATCAATGTATTTCTTTACTTTTTAGTTCAAGGCTAACTTAAAAAGTAGGAGCTGCGGTGGCTCAAGTGGTTAAGACGCTGAACTGCAGGCTGTGGAAGGTCGGTAGTTCAGCAGTTCAAGACCCGGGTGCCGCATGACGGAGTGAGCTCCCGTCTCTAGTTCCAGCTCCTGCCAACCTAGCAGTTCGAAAGTAAGAAATTGCAAGTAGATAAATAGGGACCACTTCGGTGGGAAGGTAACAGTGTTCCGTGCGCCTTGGTGTTTAGTCATGCCGGCCACATGACCACGGAAACGCCTTC